GGGGGGGGGGCACAGTTTGGTTAATTTAATTATGCATCAGATTTCCTTTTACCAGATCTGAGTAAAATGACTAATGTCCCCTTTAATGTTCCTATGTTGAACAACCTGAACAAAGTATTTTTGTTCAGGTTGTACACCATAACTTGTCTCTTTAGTATTTGTTCTGTTCTTGTTCTCTTTATGTTTAAAATAACATCTTCCGATGGTGGACTTTGGAATCTTGAAATCCTACCATCATAGTTTTTGACGCATGTTTCAGTTTAAAAAACATTGAGATTTCAGAGGTAACTTTGTAAATTTGCACACACTGATAAATACAGACATAAATGTTTGAACAACAGTGAAAACACATTCCAGGAGCGGCTAATGCTGAACCGCTCATGGAGTCATGTCAGGTCAGCCTGCTGGCATAAGACCAAAAATATAAAGCTTTACGTTACAAAGATGGAGCACAGGGCAGCATCTGAACGCCAGAAAGTGTCAGTTTCATTATGTACCTCAGAAATTCATATCCTCTGAATTATGAAGTTGTATTTTGAAAAACTCACATAAAAATGTTGAATTAAAAGATACAAAAAGTTATCTAATTCAGATAACAAAGGATGCATGAGACAAATTACAAAGAAACTATTTGAATATTTCTGTGGCAGCATTTATTAAAAATGTATTCAGGTTTCCCAGAAGCATTAAGCTTTAACAGTTGGTGAGAACTGGTAGTCATATATGAATTTGATTAGTCATCCACTATAATTATTACTAAATGAAAGCACCAGAATGACGCTGAAATCATAACTGTCAACCCGCCATTTCCAGATGCTGTGTCCAGCAGGATGATAATTGTCCGTTTTTAGTGAAAGGGAACATCTTCTACTCTATACTGCTATTAGTTCTGCAAAAGATAAAATGTCAGTATCTTTGGATTAAACAATGTTGGTGTGAAAATGTACAAGACAGATCGAGGGGGGAGGGTTTGTATGAGTGAGGAGTTGTGTGAGTTCAGTGGCCCTCTGTAGGCTGGTGTGTCTGAGATTCGGTCGGACTCTGATCTTGAGGTTTATTTAAGCTGAATTCCGTGGGCTCATCAGGACCGGGTTACAAAAATCCTCCTATAGAACTAGAAAGAATGTGCAGCGCATACAGTTCTGCATAAGGCACAAAGGCATGTCTTTAGAGGTGGGGGCAGGCATCAAAAGACAGGCAGAGTAGGGATTTCTTTAGAGGCTGGGGGCAAAGGAGGTATTTCGGAGCTCCATTCACTGCCACTGAGAGGAGGGGAGGCAGACAGTTTTGTGGTGAAGGGTGCATTTCCAGGGGATGTTAGTTAGGAGTTACTTACTCTCAGTTATTCTGCTCTGAACCGGAGGGGCTACAATTAGTAAAATTGACATTAATTTCAGTGCACTATAAAGTAGCTGTAAGCAGTGTTTAATTATGTGTTTGTGAACAAACTATAACTCTTCTTGTGGGCACTCTTAAGTGGGGCCTGCTGTAGGGACACATAATGAATGAAAAGGTTTTTAAAACAACATTGTAATAATATACAATTATAGGAGAGGTTATCATTGTTGCCAAATGCTGCTTACAACTGAAATATAGTTAAATGCAATATACAAACAGAAGGACCTCATGTAATGTGAAGATTTGTAATAAATGTAAATGTTATGATTCTCTGCATTTTTTTGTATCTCAGCATATGTAATTATGTTTTGGAAACATAAATGATTTTGGTAGGTTAATCTGGCAGAGGTATAGACTAAATATAATTTCACATAGTCTCTATCATGTAGTAATTGTATTAATCGTAAAATAAAATCTGACTATGAGTCTTATTGTATAATTAACATTTCTTTATATAAAAGAGACAGCTGAAAGGATTGTTTTGACGTGGTAAAGTGACTAACTGGTCTGTTTGGTATTTGCCAGTTGATTTGATTAGTTCCTGTTAAACGGCAGTCTCTGTCTCTAAGCCATCTCCATGACCTTCTTGATCCAGTCCACGTAGACAGACACTCGGATGAAGATGTTGGGCTGCCCTGGGTGTCCGCAGCGCCTCATGGGGATGATCACACCCTCCAGTACCCAGCAGTCACTGTTCTGACACGCCAGAGGTCCGCCGTAGTCTCGCTGCAGAAACACAGGAACAACACTCCGCCGTCATTATTTGTCTCTGTTATGACTGACTGTCACTGCTGAGGTTGGAAACATCTTGCAGTCACATCTTGTCCAGTGCACTTCCATTGTCCAATTGGTGAATGTGTTTGATTTACAGGAACATATAAATAGCTGTATGCTGTTTAAGAGCACTTGTAGAGAATTCCATCATCAAACTAATTTTCTTTACCATCTGTATTTAAAGTTTTAATTCTCTGAGCTTAATGGTGTTATTTTTGCTCATTAAAATGTTTGACTTTTGAGAAATATGCTAATTTGCTTTGTTTCCAGGAGTTAGATGAGAGGTTGAAACTAACCTCCAGCCAGTTAGCATATTTTAGCTTGGCATAAAACTGGAAACATCCAGCTTGGCTGAGCAAACAGGTTCACAGGCAAACAATGAAAGAAAAAAACATTATTATAATTATATTATAAATGATGTGCATCATTTTCTCTGAGAAAAACTGCATTCTCCTTATTTTAAATTCTGCATTCTCTTTCGTTGTCCTTTTAGAAGAAGCTAGCAAACACTCACAATAATGCTGTCAAGTAAAATGAAAGGATGATGATGATGTGAGTGAAGCGTAACATTGCTAACTGAAGTGCACATGTGCTGTATTATGACAGTAACTACTGTGAAAGCCTGAGTCTAAACAAGCAGAAAACCTGAGAGGCTTTCTGCAACGCTCCCAAATGAACTCCATCGCTCAGGGAAATATTTAGCATAACGTACAAACATAAGTTGAAAACTTAATGTAGTTTACTGTATGCTACAGTACAATAGCTAGCTCAGACAGGCTATGCTCACTAGCTACTTGCTCTAGCAACATAATGAGCATAAAGGCCTGATACCGTCTTATCAAACTCGACAAGAAAGCGTGTGATTGTATTTTCAAATGTTTGACATATTCCTTGAATGCCTCTGCACACTGCAGTTAATGGTTGTTTTCATGGTTACCATTTGTTAAGACAATGTAAAAATAAATGTCTCTATTTTAATTACCTATTCAACGAAATGCAACTTATTACATTTGATTACTTTTCACAACTTTTTAAAACACATATCTTGAACTTGACAATAAAACTGAAAAAACTACATTCAAACCGTATTGTGAAAACCTCACAATACTTAAAAGTGGGGTAGGTAAGTTTGAGAAACCGGCTCGAGATGCTGGAATGCTCTTAACATCCCGATAGCAATGAATATCTTAAGTGCTTTGACAAAAATCCATAAATAAATCTCATCTGTGGAAGCTGTAGTACTGTAAAAAGCACGACCAATCATTTGAGCCGGCCCGGCTAAAATAACTGGATGGCCTACCTGCCTGTCAGCCTTCCATCTGTGCACAAACTTATCTCGTGCCCTCATTGGTCATGTGTGCGTTCGTGTGTGTTGGAGGAGGGGCTCTGTAAGGAAGTGGCAGATTTTTCCCGGATGTGTATTTTCAAATTCCAGGGCACTCGAGCTGGTTTCTCCAAAATGACCTACCTTAATTAATTAATTTTTGCCAAAAATATATTGCATAGATATAATCCATTTGTAATCAACATTTTGATTGGTGACTTTAATTAAGTGAAACATTTATTTGTTATCTTTTTAAAGTTTTTTATATGTTGCAAGTTATCCCCAACACTGTCGAAATGCAAAAAAAAAAAAAAAAGCTTTGTGAATGGAGAAACTGATGAAGCTTGAGGGTAAAACAAATATTCTACTATTCAAAAATGACAACAAAGCTTAGATGCTGTGCACTCTCTTCAAAGACTCTTACCTCGCAGGCGCCCACCCCGCCCTGGAAAGAGCTTGAGCACATCTCGTTCTCACGAACGCGACCTCTGAAGTATTTGTTGCATTCCTTGTTACTCAGAACTGGTATGTTGGCCACGTTGAGGACAGTCTCATCTCCAGTCCCTTGAAACAACAACGAGACAGAGGAATGATTTAGCAGCAGCCGATGTGTTTAAAGATGGAGAAAATAGCAAAGGAAGGTGGACAGATGTTGAATGTTTCTGCAAATAGCAACGCCATCTGTTGCTCACTGTTCTGAATAGCGCTCTCATTTAGATGCAACATTACTTCAAGGGCAGACGCAAGATGCTTGTTCTAAGGAAGTCATCAATTATCAATTACTGAAATTGAAGCATATTGTAGTTGCATGAAGCGCAGCGTGTTGCTAATTCAGTGTCAAGTTAATAATTTCCAAAGGATTATACTTGCCTCTCGTCTCACCCCATCCTGCGATCTCACATGGCGTCCCCTCAGCTACAATGTAGCGCTCAGGAGGGAGGCAGATCTGAGAGATACGCTCATTAATCTGGGCCGGACTAGAGGAAGAAAGAGAGAGGCACAGGGAAATTATTGGTGTGTGTGTGTAAGAGAGAGAGAGCATGCTTGGGGCACTTGACAGTACACACTATTCCAGTTGTAGCATGACCAGCTGAGACTCAGAGGGTCCGCAGACGATCTTTGTCAGCGGGATGGTTTGCATGCCGGGCTCTTCTGCTTGTGGATCACGATACAGAGTTCCCATCCTAGCAGAGTACCCGGGCAGGTCCACGTAGCTGTGAACACATGCAGAGGATCAGTACGAGTCTTTTAACTTCATGTCTTATCCTGACATATCTCATAGTCTGTAAGAGGACCTCAAGCTGTTTAATACTGCTCTTCCAAGTAACACTCATTTTAACTAGTCTTGCTCTTAGCTCTGTAAGGCTGTACTTAGGCACAGCAAGGCTTCAAAGTAAATGTGAATATGTTATCAATGACAATGCAGACACCCTGCTGTGCGCCAAGGACCTTAAAAAAAGAAAAGTTTACCAGGAGGAGAAACACTGCTTGGTGCTGATCACCCATCTGGGGTTAACCAGGGATCCTCCACAGAAATGGTTTCCTTTCCTGCACACAAGAGGGTCAGAGGTCACCATACTTGTCAACCCTCCCGATTTTCGCGGGAGACTCCCAATTTCATTGCCCTCTCCCGGTTTCCTCCCGGGGTCATATTTCTCCCGCATTTCTCCCGATTTCTGACAAAATCAGATTTACTAAGGACTGTTTCCACTCAAACTTTAATACAGCTACACCATTGTTTGGTTTCCATGGTAACACGTCTCTTTAGTAGCACGCGCAACTCAAAGTCTGAGAGGGTGAGGCAGATAGTCACAGAAAACAGAACAAGAATCAACAATTACTCTACTCTCTGCTCACTCCTTTCCTTTTTAAAATCGTTCTGTGTGACACAAATCAATAGATTAATTTCCTGACTATAACAAGAAATGCCGTGAGACTGTGTTGCAACCTGCATAGAGGCGTACAGACGCATCCGTTTGACCCCCCAGAGCGTTTTATTTGCAACATCTATCCCAGTCTATGATCTATCCACCTTGGGACCCGCTATCGTTTGCGGGGTCCGTTTCTATCGTTTTGTTACGGCCTCGTGTAAATGAAAGGGCTATAGCCTACGCAAGAGAAACTATGCGGATACAACCCGTTTCGTCCTTGTGTAAACGGGCTCTCAGACTCACCTGTCCCTCAGGCTCACTGTCCATGGAGAGTTCCCAGGAATCCCATTCACAATGCGCAGCCTCGACATCTTCGCGCGGTCATCTCTCTTTCCACACTCACTGAACTCCACTTTCTCTGCGTTCACAAAACCGTATGTGAAAACAATTATTAAGAGAAACAAGAAAACTTGTTGTCAACATCGACATGTTGCTTACTATTCATTCAGATACTAACCTACTGGTTCAGTCATGGACACTTTCTCCCCAGCTGTTTGAATAAACAAAACAAGAAGCAGATCAACTTTTAAAGTAAGAAAACAAAAGCTCTGGATGAACTGTCATCACAAAGTACCAGATGTATATATATACAGTTATGTACCACAATGTTTGATGGCACAGTAGTCAAACTCAGTTTTGGGGTCGGTGGTATAGCACCACGGTCCGTGCTGGTCCCCATCGGGGTTACGACAGTAGTTCTCCGTCAGGTTGGCCTCGGGATGCGTGCTTTGGTTAATCCTGGAAAATGTACTAAAATTATTTTACTAAACTGTAAACTCAACAATAAAATGCCACAGACAACTAAACAAAGAAGAAGTTTTTGCCACACATGTTACCCTTATTCTTGTTTGGTAAGGTGTCTATTAAGCTGTTTCATCAAAATCTACTATTAGAATACATTTTTTTAGCTGATCCCAAGCTCCCCAAATTTCTGTGCATCGCATGGTGGGAAAAAAAGGGAGCACACCAAAAAGTGTATATTTTTGTTTCCATCCTGTCTGTTTGGAGGGTCATTTGTGTGTAGTAATTCACTTTTCTAATGTGAATATTCAACATACTCAATTAAGCTTAGAATTATTTTGACATTTGGATTTCAGAACACAGCTTTGTAAAAAACGAGGAGCAGAGCTCATCTCTCATTTTGAATGATCATCGTACTTTGTCCGATGAGGTGTGTTGATGTTCCATTTCTGGCAGGTGATCCCCTTACGAGTTTTGCGGACCATGCCTCTGTAGTTTTTTCCATTTCCATGGTAGCAATCTGTAAAAAATTGTTTTTGAAATGACAGCTCCATGATAATGTATAGCGCATTGAAAGCTATATAAAAGTACAAAAATAATGTAAACAACACTGAAACTCCCCATTCTCATGAAGGGCCTTAGCCGCCATTTCTATACTAAATTGTTTTTATATGAATTATCCTCTTGGTGGGTATAATGTACATACATTGTATAGATGTTTTTTCGAACCTATATTCCAAACAATCTAATAAATCAAGGATTCTGCATTTCCCCACCAGAACGGTATTTTTTCAGTTGATGTAACTTCTACGGAGGAGCAGCCGCCGTTGCCATAACGGACGATAACATGATAATGGTAAATGGAAAGATAGTGTACGGTACAGAAGTAATAAGCTAAAATGTGCCAGCATTGAACTGACATGAATTAGACTTTGATGCAATCTTATGAAATTATTAATTTGTAGTTTTACAATAAACCAGAGAGATAGAAACTGTGACTGCTGGTCCAAAAAATGTTTATTGGGGTTGCACTGGAGGGAACTTTGACTCATCTCTCTAGTTGCTTACTACATATTTATCCATTGCAGTTGACAAAAAGCTAAAAATGAAGAGTACCTTCAGCCTCTATGTCGTCTGCGCAGCGTTTGATCTGTAGGCAGAGAGCAGTCCTCATCTCAGGCACAGATGTGAAGCACCAGGGAGCCTCCGACCCATCTGGGTTACGACAGTAGTTCTCCTCCAAACCCCTGCAGGAGATGTCTCACTCAGTCAGGTTACATTGGTTTGGTTTTTATTCTTTCATTTAACAACCTACACACAACACAGTTTTTCAAACAAATATAAACAGACAATAAACTACACCTTTCAAATTGTTATGCTTACAATTGAAGCATGGGAAAAAATAAAAACATAAAGTCAAAATGTCCATGCTGGTCCTGTCCTGAGACCAACCAAATTTAAATTATGACTTTTCTATTACAATACAAAACCTTTTAACAGTCTGTTAATTTGCCTTTAAGGCATTTATTGGTATGGCTTGCTGGAAGGTACTAAACTCTCTGTAGAAGACATGTTGTTGTATAAAAGACACATTATTAAAAGCACAATACATCATAGATTGTATAAAGGCCACAGATACTTTCTTGCAGCTAACAATAAAAAGAACAATTAAAAAAAGAACAAAAAACAAAACAAATCTCTATTAAAAATATAAAGGCATTACAATGAGAATTTCACCAAGACATAATCTACTGTATATTCTCTGCCTGTTTAATATTGTGATTAAATTCTAATAAAATACTTTCATCCAAAAATCTATTTTTAATAAAATGGATGATTGAAATGATCATAATCGATTTAGGCATGATGAAGGATTACCACATTACAAATAAGCTTAATATTCATTTCACATCCATATTGCCAGTCAAAGTGCAACCCGCTCCTTAATCTGGAGATGCTGACCATTTATCATCGACTGTCAACTGTCAGCAGAGAAATAAGATCGCAAGAAACTTCACAGAAAGGACATCTTGACATTAATATTCATGTGTCGAGCAAACTAAAAGTCCATGAGTGCAGAAAAATAACCCCAAAGTATTTCAGAAACCATCAACTTCTTCTTCTTTCCTCCATCACGCTGTGAGTTGTACTGACTTGCATTCGTAGGTGTTGGGGTAGAAGGGATGCTCATGAGGTTGCTGGGCATCCCACCGCTGGCAGGGGATCCCTGAGGTCGTCTCGTTCACTCTGCCACGGTAATCTTCCCCACGTCCACGGAAACAGTTTGTTGTGGAGCTGGAGCGTGGGCGCTTATCTACCCGCACCTCAGCTGAGAGAGCAACAGCAAGTTGAAGAGGGAATAAAGATGAGTGACAACACAGAGGTGATGCTAGTTAATATGGTCCCTCTGAGCATAATGATTTGTATGCCCCTGTATTGTCTTGAAATTAAACAGAGAGTGAGAGGTGTGACATGCAATAAGGTCAGAAAGCTGGAATTTAAAGATCACCTATTATGCAAAATCAACTTTGTCATGTCTTTTATACATCAACATGTGTCCCCTCTGTGTAAAGAGATTCTGAAAGTTTCAGGAAAAAATATTCACTCTCTTTTTGTCCTGATCCATTTATATAAAAACCTGTCTGAAAATCAGCTGATCAGATTTTGGCCCCTTTATGATGTCATAACGATTTGTTGGCTTGTGTAAAGATTATCCAATAATCAACCAAGGTAACCGCCACCTTATCACCTGAATATCTCTCAGAGGGGCGTGGGGAGGGGCTCCTTATTTTCCCTCCCTTTGATAGAGGTTTCTGGGATGCTTCAATTAATGATCTGTTGGGTATTTCGCGAGCCAAACACTTCAGAGACATGTTTGTATATATCTGAGACCTATAATATATTCATGAAAAACAGTATAATAGGGGACCTTTAACCTTGGGGAATTTGGGTTGAACGGCATGCACTGTAACCATTGAGCTGAATTGCCAGAATTATGAGAATTTCTCATTTCTTATTTTGATTGTGTTTCGTTTGTCCTGGACAGAATAACTGAAAAAAACTAAAAGGTTGAACTTATAATATAGTTATTAATCTTCTTATAATTACACCAAAATTGAAAATGAAACCATGTGATATTTTGTGTGTATGTTCTTGTTAATCTATGACGATGAAGGGAATTTATTTTGAGTGTTGAGACTCAACACTGCCTGCGCCACTAGATGGCGGTATCTTATCGATGTTTGGACCCAGAGCTTTCTGTATTGAGGGGAAATGCCAATTCTGCCAGTGTCATCTTGCACAACTTGTGTTGAAATTCTGGAAAAAACACAGATGCCCTGATTGGGTTTGTTTATTTAATTATCTTCTGAAGATAAAGGGTCAGCATTTGAGTCTGCCGTGCTGTTTCATTTGTTATATTGAACACAATCCAAATGTATAAATAGTTAGAATCAGAGGAAAAGCCTTAAAAGCATACATTTGAATGTAAAAATACCACGTTATTCAATTCACGTTAAGTACAGAATACCTTATAACTCTTATCATACCTTTAAATGTTGTTTGTATGTATTTTTGGTAAATAATTGAACTACTACCTCTCCCATCATAGAAATGTAAACTATACTTCAGTAAAAGCTTGTAGAAACTCAATGACATAAAAACAAGCTGTACAATAACAAACAAAAATAATTAAATAAACATTGTAATCAACCTGAAACCTTGTGAGACCATGCAGGTTCGGAATCACCGACAAAACATGTGCAAATGTTAGTCGCACTTACTCTTAAAGAGTTATTGAGCCCACTGTGGAATTTGCACAAACACCAAAAAGGTGATTTCTCTAAATGTAATTACAGCAACTTAATGAGGCACTCTAACTCCACTGTGTCTCCTAACGCCGCAAGAAACAACTTCATTTAGCTCATGTCTCCTTGGATTGTGCCCGAGGGAACTAATGAAAAAAACAAAATAGAAGAAAAAAAGATAGACTGTCTGGAGAAAACTTATGGTAATAAAGAGTATAAGGTATTTTTTTGAATTAATGAACACTTTGGTCTACAAACTGTAAACGAAAAAGTGTACACTTCCTGTTTTATTTCCCAGACTCCAAGGCACATATGTGAAACTTGGTCCAACCACTACCTATTAAATTAAATAGGTATACATGTTCAGTTTACTTTCACAGGGGAGGATCTCTACTGCTGAGAAGCTGGAAATGTTTGGCATTTTACACAAAAGTGGCTGATTATTTTTCATCTACTGACAAATTATCTAACTGTTCAATCTTTAATATTACCCTGGATATTGTTTATAGTGTTATATATAGACTATGTACTATTGGGGGGACTAATAAAGGTATTCTGATACTGATTAAAAAAGAAGTCACATCTTACTGCACTTGCTGATCTCACAGTTCTCCCGCTCCGTCTCGGTGTCGGTGGTGTAGCACCACGGCACGGGGGAGGCGTCCGGGTTACGGCAGTAGTTGTCATCTAAACTCTTATCTGGATATCTGAAAAAACGTAATTTATGACGTCCACATAAGGAAACAGTTCAGAAGAATTTCATTGCCATTTCTACACTATGTGCATATGACAATAAAACTTTTGAATCTTGAATACATTTGATTGTGTAGTGAATTACTTTTCAGGCTGGTAGATGTGTTGGTGCGGGTACTGCTGGTCCCATCTCTGGCACTCTTTGCCGCTCACAGTGTGATCCACCTGTCCTCTGTAGTCCTCTCCGTTACATGTGATACATACCTCTGCAAACAAAACCACAAACACAGCTTCAACATCAGGAGGGAAGCAGGAAGCAAACTAAATAAATACACACATTTTATTTTACATATCCGATTACGCCCAAATAATTCCACCAAAAGAAGGTGATGTAATTTCTGTTTTGTAAAAGCCAATAGGAAATGGGTTTCAATTTGTTCACTTGGTAATTATAACCTTCTCTTACCAAAGAAACAATTTCAGTGAAAAAGGGGAGTAAAGGTTTCCAACAAAACAAGAATTGCCTTCGGTTTAAATTCATTTGAGTGAGTTTTCAAGTTCTTTTGAGGTAAATAGACTTGCTCTAAACTCTATCTAAATATTTATATTCGCAGTTATTTCTTTAAAAACTCAGATTATTGAGTGAACTACTATGTGTTCATTCTCTGTTTTACCTATGATTTGTACCAAAATGATGTAGCTTGTTTGTTGCTTTAAAAGTATTGATACCATTTTTTTTTTACATCACACAGCACTTGTTACGACTTGTATGGGATGTACCATCTTTACACTGGGGGATGTTGCAGCTCTCATAGCGGCGCTCAGGGTCGGTGGTGTAGCACCACGGGCCGATCCGATCCCCGTCTGGATTCCTGCAATAGGCCAGCTCCAGACCGTTGGTAGCTGTGGGAGTCCACCTGAGACCAGCAGATAAATATACAGTGAGCGACAGACTGTTTGATGCAGGGCAGTCAAAACATTTTCAGACCGTCTCATATTGATTTAAAGAGCCCTTTTAAACCTGTCATTGGATTTGCAATGCAACAGGTTAAAGCGTCGACTCTCAGCTTTAATCACAGGTGTTTACATCCACATTACATAAATAGCATGGGAGTTGGAGCCTCTTTATACACAGTTTCCTGTTTTAGATGACAAATTACAATTAACCACAAGCTATAATACAACAATTACTGATACATCTGGAAAAACTCCTGCCACCCATTTAAAAAACAAGGTTCATGAGAGTTTAGAAGATAGGCCAGAACAACTAAAATTAGTCTGAAAGGTGGCGATGGGTTGGCATCAATCAGTGACCTCCTTTTACATCACAGCCATTTAAATCAACTGTTTAAACACAAATATGTTATATATAATATTGATTGAAACTTTAAATAAAGCTGTCACATTTACTATTTTGTCAAAATCTTAAGTCTATAAAAGCTAAACCCCTAAACGCCAACAAACTATCTTCTATGCTAGTGCTGTACTGTGGCCATCTTTGCTTCCTGTTATTTTGGGTTGTTAAACACACCATGAGTTGGAGGCATTCAACACTTTGGCAATAAAACACTTCCTGTTCAGGTTGCCTGTAGGTAAAGGATCTATTAAATTGGAGGATTATGTATAAAAGCGTTTTCAAATATGTAAGTTTTCTGAATATCAGCTGTCTAACCCCATAATCCTTCTTTCACTTTAATCCGATGCCTGATACACTGCATGAGCCTCTAAAGAGATCACACGGTCTCACCTGTGATCGTGAGGGAACTTGGACCACCACTGTTGGCATTTGAGCCCACCTCTCGTGGTGAAGACTTTCCCTCTGTAGTCTTCTCCTTTACCCACGATGCACTTTCTGACATAGACTGCACAATAAAAAACAATAATGAATCCCCTCCAGAATTGACCACTCGCAGTGATGTCTGTGTTATCGCACAATTAGTCTCACCTTTCTTCTCGTAGAGGTCACAGTTTACGTTCCTCTTCACCTCAGCGTTGCTCCCATCCCCCACCCAGGGCAGATGTTTACAGGAGACGGTCGGACGGGTCTCGTAGTTGAACGCTCTGGTGTTAAAGGGATGTTTTCATGTCAAAACTTTATTGGATACTAACCTAGAGGAAGGCATACTAATGAAAGGGTTAGTTTGAATCAGTTTCCTTTAAGGATCGTTAACACGACATAACTGTACACCCCAGCACGTTCACTCTGCTCTGCATCGGTCAAACAGCTCGCTGCACCCGCACTGCGAGGGGGACCCAAGTTCCCATCAGCAAAAACACGTGGGTTTGCTATCCTCCAAAATGGTGGAATGAGCTCCCCATTGACATCAGGACAGCAGATAGCTGCACATCTTCCGGCGCAGACTGAAAACTCACCTCTTTCGACTCCACTTCGAGCGATAGAATTACTAACAAAGAACTGCTAACAGAGCACTTATATACTAATAAAGGACTGGCTTATCTATAGCCAGTTGAGTAGCACTTGAAATGTTTGGCTCTATGAAACCTGATGTACCGGTACTTATATGATTCTGTTTTCTTCAAGGTTGTATCTTCCTGGTCGAATGCACTTATTGTAAGTCGCTTTGGATGAAAGCGTCAGCTAAATGCAATGTAATGTAATGTAATAACAACTAAGGCTGCAACTTAGCATTATTTCATTGTCAATTAATATTTGTTTTCATTCAGCTTTTTCTGGATTGTTTCCATTTGGTTTATATGATGTCAAAAGGAGAATACAAATTGCTCATTCAAGTCGCTAAAAGTTCATGGGGATGTCTTTTACTATCCTGTTTTGTCAGTTCAAATTCAAAAAGTATTGAATTGAATGTTCAATCAATTTTCAAATTGTGTTGGATATTATATTTCTGTGGATTGGCTAATCAATTCGTCAAGTACCTACAATTATCCTGGACAGAATTCAGGTTTTTTATAACTGTGCTTTTATTTCAAAGAGTTCACAGTGGCCATCATTTCTGTCAGCGATGATAATTTATCTTGAGACATGCTTGAAGGAGCAACTACGTCAGACCTCACAGTTTAAAAGTTTGGATGATAAATCTGAACTGTTTGTTGATAACCTGCATCATCTCTGATAGGATTACAACTTCAAAATGAAGGTTGAAATAGACCATAGGTGTCTTTTTACAGTAGAAATCTTATTGGACACTTTGGTCAGGAGGAACTGTTGTCTAGTGATGCTGTATCAGAGTAAAGACTGGGTACCTGCAGTCCAGAGACTGTGAGCAGCGAGTGGCGCAGTCCTCCAGGTTCAGGACCGCTAACAGCAACATCTGAGCTGAGTTCCAGGAGGTGGGGACGAGCTCTCTGCCCTCAGAGCGCTGGAAGTCATTCAGTGGACTGCGGTAGGCTGTTTATGAGAACAGAGGAATAAAACCTAAAGTGCCTGGCATGACGGCATCTGTCTGTTTAGTGGTGATGCTCTCTGGTACCAACTGCAACATTTGGGCACGAGCCTGCACACATATAACCTTTGGACCAAGACGCTGACACCAGAAAAAGCTTCAAACAGCCAGTACACCTGGTTCCTGAAACAGACCACCACCACAACATCTACTGCTGTCACAAGTAATGCAGTGCTAACTTGTATAACAGCATAATCCTAGTACTATGAAAAAGGTTACATTAAAAATATTTTTGAGGTGTTTTGGGGATTTTTATTTGATCTTTTTAGTATACACATTCCTTAATAAACACATTTACTCTTCATTGTATCCTGATTCATAAATAGATAATTAAATAACTGTCTAAGGAGGAAATGTAGCTGTAAGTATTGTACTTTTAAGTAAGAACACATTTAAAATATGTATACATTACTTGAGTATTTATTTATGCCTTAGATAAACTGAAGGCTGGGGTGTTACTTGAGATATTCTCATATGTAATACTAAATAAAGTATTTAATGCATCGTCACAAAGCTTGTAGAGATCTGTGGTTCTTACAGGTCAGTGACACCACAAAAAGGATGATTTATAGAATACGATTGATTAGTTTGTATAATAAATCACCCAACTGTATAAAAAGACATACAACTTAAATATCAACAGCATTTAATAGTCAATACAACATTAATGCAGCAGTAACATCAGTAACATAATGTCTAATAAAGCACTTAGAGGAAACAAATGAATAGCCTATACTTTTTCTTTTGATACTTTAAGCACATTCTGCAGATAACAAATACTTTGAATTCATTACTTTTTTGCATTTGAGCCTTTCAGAGTGTGGTCCTCATAATTCTAATCAAACACTCCAAAAGATTCAACTCACAGTAACTTACTATTTTTGATTTGTGCTAGGCTCACTTCTTTCTAACTACACATACACTAACCAAACAGGCCATTACTCTGAATCACAAGTCCAAATACAGTCTAATAAAACCAAATATTTAGCACTATCATAACAACAAAGACACTTTAACAAAGACATTTAGGATTATAAAATAGTCTTACCAATGGCCGGTGCGACTGTCACCAGAATAAAGTGCAGAAACAGTTTCATTGTTTGAGGTCTTTGGACGGGAAGAACAGATTTAGCGGTCGAGAAGTCAGACTGGGATCTCTGAAGTCCGATCACCGGTCGATCTGATAATGACCAAAAGAAAATCCACAGAAAACAGCAGAAAACGCAGAAAGCATACAACCCTGACACCCACCCGAGCCCTTATTCAAACAGAGGCGCTAATCCCCAAAACACACACAATCAATACTGCGTGTCAATCATTAATGAAGTGGCACAGCCAGGGTCTATTTTTCATCATATATGCACTTTGGCATATTGTTACTGGAGATTAAACCACATCTTTAGCACAATTAGTTTTGAAGTTAGTCAGAAAAAAAGCTATTCTCTTTACAAACGCTAGACGTCAGTAGATTATTTTCCAGAGGAGTTTTTTATCCGGTTTTCCGGGAAATAAAGTGAAACTCTTTGGTGAAGCTGACTTCATGATTTGACTGTCCTGCTTTACTTTTATCATCGCTTCATCACTGCAGGCTGTCAGGTAACACATAACGCATCGTGTTTGTGATGAAGTGCTCAGAGCGATATTACACATCGAATGATCTAATGTGGACTTTGGTCGGGCTGTTTAACTTGAAAGCTGGCCACAAACTCAGATTTTAGTCTTAACACAGAACTGGACGCGAGTTGGCTGCTGTGAAAAACAAAATGAAAGGCCAGCACTTCAACATCTAGGGAGTGTGGACAAATTAACAGCAACACCGTGCAAAACGCTGCAGTCCTAACATGTTTGTGGAGCAACATAACATGTCTGGTTGAAACTGTGCCAGAAAAAGTGTTGTTGTGAAATCGGAATTAACATTGTGTGTTAATGTCTTCAGATACCTCCAGAGGTGAAAGAATGACTAAGATCTTGTACTTGAGTAAAAGTAGAAGTACCAGAGTGAAGGAATACTCTGTTACAAGTAAAAGTCCTGCAATCGAAATGTTACTCAAGTAAAAAAGTATTAGCATCAAAATGTAGGCCTACTCATTATTCAGATTGGCCCTTTTCAGAATGATATAATATGAGATTATAATAAGTGATGCATTAAGTGTTTATCAAAGCATGTAAAGGAGCAGGTAGTTTTGAATATTTCGTATACTGCAGGGTATATTGTGAATTTAATCCATGTGTAACTATAAATCTTATTTAAGTGGTAATTAAAGTTAAAATCATAAATCCTAACCTGCAAAGTAACTAAAGGTATTACATAAATGTAATGGAGTAAAATTACAAAGTAGCATACAATGGAAATACTCAAGTAAAGTACAAGTAGGAACTTAAGTGCAGTACTTGAGTAAATGTACTTATTACTTTACACCACTGGATAGCCTACCTCCTGATACTTTTGTATACAAAAGACTTGGCTGTATGTACTGCAATTTAGTTATTTATCAAGTTTCTTCACTTTAGGTACACTGGAGCTTTGATGGCAAACATTGACGGTTTATTTGGAGCTTCGGCCGGAGAATTCACAAGACATGTCACGGGCCACGAGTTGAACACACGGTTGAGATGCCACAATCAATTCTAAAGAACTCTACCCCAGACCCATGTATTTAGCTAGTTTAGAGAGATAAATCAACATTGTGCAGAACAAGATCATAATCAGCTGACACCAACAGGCAGGGACAGGGAGACATAACACTGAGAACACAGCAGCCAAGATTACAGGTGCCTGTGCTCAGTCAGGACACTGATAAACTGGGTCAAAGCTATGGGCCTTGGAAAATATTTCCCCAACTCCTATTAGTATAATAAATAATTAAATTGCTATTTAAAGGGGACCTATCATGCAAAATGCACTTTTTGATGTCTTTTATACATAAATATGTGTCCCCGGTGCGTCGGGGAACTCACACAGCGTCAGAAAATAAAACC